AAGAGTCTTGTTTTCAAGCTGGGGTTATCAAAAGAAGAGGGCAAGGGGGACAAAGTTACATTGAGAACAGGAGGTGGCCCTCCAAAAAGAATTTTGTAGAGGGTTAGACCGTGTATAGCAGGAGTATTTCTAGCTCGAAATAAAGCTAGAGGTAGGAGCTGTACCCAGTCTTTAGTGCCAGTCTCTAAAGCTAATTTAGTTAAGGTCTCTTTAATAGTTTTATTCATTCTTTTTACCTGTCCTGAACTTTGGGGTCTGTAAGCACAATGTAATTTTTAATTAATCCCCAATGCTTTGGCCACTCCCTGACTTACCTGGGAGACGAAGGCTGGGCCATTATCAGACCCAATTACCTTGGGCAGTCCAAATCGAGGGAAGATTTCTTCAATCAGCTTCTTCACCACAGTCTGAGCTGTTTCCTTTCTGGTGGGGAAAGCTTCAACCCACCCTGAAAAAGTGTCTATAAACACTAAAAGGTATTTGTACCCATATTTTCTTTTTCTGAGAGTACCTCAGTAAAATCTACTTCCCAGTTAGTCCCTGGTCGTGTTTCTCTTTCTCTCTTACCAGATGGGACCTTTGACCTGGTAGCATTCACCAGGGAACATGAGACACAATCTCCCACTACCTTTTGGACTAGTTGATTGAGGCCTGGGAAATAATAAATTTGTTCTTCTCTTCCTAACAGTGTCTTTAGTTTTTTGTATCCTAAGTGTGTCCACTCGTGGAATTGGGAGATTAACTCAAGGGCCTCCTTTTGGGGCAGTATAATTCAATTCTGATATTTCTACATTTTAGATTCTGGGTCCAAAGTAGCGTTGAGCCTTCGAATGAGTTCCAGATCCTGCTCAGTGTAGGTGAAAGGAGCATCTCCCTCCTTTATTTGTGCTTCAATTTCAGCCTCCAGGTCCAAATGGTGTGTAAAGAATGTATGTACCTTCTGCTGCCTGACGGGCAGTTTCATCCGCCATCCGATTGCCTCGAGCATTCGGCCCCTGGTCTTGTTGATGCCCAGGGTAATGAATTATGCTGACCTGTTTTGGCAAGTACAAGGCTTGTAGAAGGGTCACTATCGCTTCTTTGTTTTTGATGTCCTTACCAGCCAAGGTGAGGAGTCCCCGCCTCCGATATATTTCCCCATGTATATGGGCAGTGGCAAATGCATAGCGGCTGTCAGTGTAAATATTGACCTTTTTGCCCTTTGCTAATTTTAGGGCCTGAGTTAGAGCTTCTAATTCAGCTCGTTGGGCTGATGTTCCAGCTGGCAGGGCTTGGGCCCAGATTATTCTTTCCCCATCGACCACGGCCGCCCCCGTCTTACGCTCACCATCTCGTAGAAAGCGGCTCCCATCCATATACCAAGTGGCATCTGCATCTGTT